AGGAAGTGCAGAGAGTCCCAAATAAGAGGATCCCAAACAGGCCCACTCCAAGACACATCATAGTGAAAATGGCAAGAGTGAAAGACAAAGACAGGATACTAAAAGCAGCAAGGGACAGGCAGCAAGTTACATATAAGGGCACCCCTATAGGATTATCAACCGACTTTTCTACAGAAACCCTGCAGGCCAGAAGGTTTCGTTCTTTATTTTTAATGGCTGAGTAATAGTTCATTGTATATATGTACCACTTCTTTATCCAATCGTCTATTGATGGGCACTTAAGTTGCTTCAGGTATCTTGCTATTGTAAATTATGCTGAAGTGAACATAGGGGTGCATATATCTTTTCAAATTAGTGTTTTGAATTTTTTTGGATAAATACCCAGAAGTGGAATCACTGGGTCATAAAGTAGTTCTAATTTTAATTTTTTGAGGAAACTGCGTACTCTTTTCCATCGTGGCTGCACCAATTTGCAACCCCACCAACAGTGCAGGAGGGTTCCCTTTTCCCCACATCATCACCAACACTTGTTGTTTGTTGATTTATTGATGATAGCCCTTCTGACGTGTGTGAGGTGATATCTATCTCCTTGTGGTTTTAATTTGCATTTCTCTGATGATTAGTGATGTTGAATATCTTTTCATTGGCCTATTGGCTGTCTGTATGTTCTCTTTGGAAAAATGCTTATTCAGGTCCTCTGCCCATTTTTTAATCAGATTGTTTGGAGTTTTTTTGGTGCTGATTTGTATGAATTCTTTATAAATGTTGGATATTAATCCCTTACCAGATGTATCATTGGCGAATATCTTCTCCCATTCAGCAGGCTATCTTTTTATTTTGTTGATGGTTTCCTTTGTTGTGCAAAAACTTTTTAGTTGATTGGAGTTTTTTCGTGTTTCATTAGGTAAGCCTGCATTGCTATGAATTTCCCTCTTAGGACTGCTTTTGCTATGTCCCACTGATTTTAAGTCCTGTGTTTTCATTTTAATTTGTCTCACGGTATCCTTTGATTTCTTCCTAAACTCATTGTTGACCCATTCAGTGTTTAAATAGCATGTTATTTAGCCTCCATGTGTTTGTGTGTTTTCAGTTTTTTTCCTATAATTGAATTCTAATTTCATACTATTGTGGTCAGAAAAGACACTTGATATGATTTCAGTCTTCTTAAATTTATTGAGACTTGTTTTGTGGCCTAACATGTGGTCTATACAGTATTGGAAAATGTTTCATGTGCACTTGAAAAGAATGTATATTTTGCTGCTTTGGGTGTGAAATGCTCTAAAAATATCGACTAAATCCATCTGATCTAGTGTGTCATTTAAGGCCACTGTTTCCTTGTTGATTTTCTGTCTGGAAGGTCTAGTCACTGATGTCAATGGGATGTTAAAGTCCCCTACTAATGTGGCAGTGGGCCCTAGACAAAGGCCTTCCCAGACCATGTGGTCACTAAGGATTTCACGCAGGCTTCAGACAAAGATATTCCTGGACTGTACGGTCATCAAGACTTCTGCGTTTAATATTTCCAAATTCCTACCTCACCCAGGAGCCAGTCAGGAACTGCCACAATGACCACATGTTCTAATAATACATCTTAGCTGCCAACCTGGAAACTTCAGGGTGTATAGCCCCGAGTCACACCTGGGTTGGTGCTCAGCTTCTGGACGTGAATCCGCTGAGCCAGTGCCAGCATTAATAAAAGTTGCTTCCCACGCCTTGGTGTCCTGTCTCTTTGTCTGGGTTCCCCGCAACACTATTGTGCTGTCGATCTTTCCCTTTATGTGGGTCAATATTTGCTTTATATATTTATGTGCTCCTATGTTGGGTGCATAAATGTTTACAAGGGTTATATCCTCTTGTTGTAAATGTTCTCCTCTGTCTTTTATTATACTTTGTTTAAATGTCTATTTTGTCTGATATAAGTATTGCTACTCTAGCTTTTTGTTGTTGTTGTTTCTATTTGCATGAAATAATGATGTAGGCTATTTCTTGTGCTGGGGTCGTAGTCTCGTGAAGCCAAAGAATGGAGACTCGGTCCAGAGAGGTAAAGTTTGTGGCAGAGGATAGTTTTATTAAAGCAAGAGAAAGGTTACAGCTCCCGAGTGGGAGGGGGTACCCGGGAAATGGGATGCCCACTAGCTAAAAGGCTTGAGTTTTATACTTTTCTTTCTGCCTGGAAGGGGGAATGCTGGAATACTGGTGTCTGTTATTAAGGTGTTTATCAGGTTTGTTCTGTTGCTAAGCCTTAGGAAGGCCTTTCTTAAT